AGGTGTTATCGTTCTTTAATACTTCAGGGAAAACGCCAGTTAAAACCGACGATTTGACTAGGATACAAAGTATGAAAATAGTGCAGTTGGGATTGCAAAGAATAATATTGGAAGAAGATAGCAGTATGACATCAACTGTTTTCCAAAGGAGCTTGTTGGCGATTTTGAATAGAGCCTTTTGATCATTTCCACATCCGTCAATCTAAAACTGAAGAAATGAGGCTCGAGTTTAATCAAGTATAAGTTAAGTGTTTCAATGATTTTTATACTATACTATATAGTTAAATCACCTAAGAAATCAGCTTAGAACTACGTCGCGTTTGCTTTGCCAGCCGACAGACCTCATTAAACCAAACTGGTGATGAGCGAGTTGATACAGTCTTGGATTTAAGTGGGGCCAGGTCGTATCTAAAGTGAGATCAGTGCGCTATTATACTGAATGATAGCGATGTTAACGTTGATATATGAGAGACGATGAGCGATCTTCCGATCAAGTGTATTGAAGTCATCATTTTGACATTTCTAAAAATCACAACATTTTTGGTTGTGTGCATGAAGCGTAACATGAGGAAAAACTGATGGGATTCATGAACAAATGTGTTTGTAACAATATTAAGATTGTTTGTAATGACAAGATTCAGTGTATGCCCCATAGTGGTGTTGTTAATTAACTGTGAGGGGTTTAACGAATGCAGTAGGTCGATAAAATGAATAGTATGTGCATTACTGCGATCATAAATATGAATGTTGAAATCACCAGTAATGAATTGATTTGAAGAAGATAAAGAATAAAGCTCTAAAATGTTTAAAAAGTAGGATAAAATCTGAATAGCTAGACGAGGCGGTGGCCAGTAAGTGTTTAAAAGTGTAAACTTCTTATATGTTGTATCTATTACAGTCCTAATCTGTGCTTATATGTATCAGCGACATTATCCGTATGAGGTCTCAAAGGGTTATGATTAGGAACTATGTCTCGAAACATATCCTCAAACACTGGTACACTACAGGGTTGCGTCTTATCGCCTCTTCTTTTCTCAATCGACACTTGGAATCTACGATGCATTAACACCTCTTGCAAAATAGTTAATAGGTTCGCAGACGATATGCATTACTGGTTTAATCACTAACAATGATGAATCAGCCTATAGAAATGGAATTGCCCATGTTATTAACTGGTGCTTCGATAAATTCTTAGTTATTAATGCAAAGAAAACAAAGGAAATGATTTTTGA